AAACCCCAAACCCTAAACCCTAAACCCTAAACCCTAAACCAGAGGCTGCTGATTCGAGATCTCAGCGGCCGGAAGTTCATGATGCCATGGTCGTTGCGGATCTGCTGAGCCAGCTCCTGTGCGTTTAGGGTTTAGGGTTTAGGGTTTAGGGTTTAGGGTTTAGGGTTTAGGGTTTAGGGTTTGGGTTTAGGGTTTGGGGTTTAGGGCTTGGGGTTTTGGGGTTTAGGGTTTGGGGTTTTAGGGTTTGGGGTTTCGGGTTTAGGGTTTAGGGATTGAAAACTCAAAGCCCCTAAAAGTGAGCCTTTTGGCCCCTTCAACCCATAAAGGCTGTAAAGCCGAAAAACCCTCTAAGCACTAAACCCCCTCAGCCCCGAACCCTAACACCCAAACCCTACGCCCCGCAAGCACTAAAGCCCTAAAGGCGTAGCACTACTAGCTACCAGAGTAACCTAGGCCTGGAATACAAAGGGTGCCCTTTTGCTCTGAATCAGGGCTTTCAAGAGAACCCACCAGAAAGCCGCAAAAAAAAGAAACAAGGGCCCTCCTGGTCCTTGACGATGGCGGCTACTTGGAGGTTCATGGTACTTGTTAACCAATTAATCACTGTACTTATAACTGTACTTATAACCATGTTAGGACATTACAAGTGGGTTTTCAGTACAGTTATAATTGGTTGATAAGTACCATGAACCTCCAAGTAGTGGCAAGTCCAGCTCCAGTGCAACACGATTTTAAAGTCCGACCCCAGCAGGACTTGTTGGGGTTGAGTTTAGGGTTTAGGACCCAAAACTCAGATCCCGAATCCCTTAAACCCCTGGACCTGCCTCGCCTAAACCGTAAACCCCAAACCCTGAACCCCAAACCCCAAACTCCAAACCCTAAACCCTAAACCCTAAACCCCAAACCCCAAACCCCAAGCCCCAAACCCCAAACCCTAAACCCTAAACCCGAAAACCCAAACCCTAAACCCCAAAAGCAAAAGCGGGAGTTCACACTACTGGTCCGGCTCGAGAAGCTCCGCGGCCAGCATGGCCGCATTGGTCACCTGCATTTTTCGCGGTCGCATAAGGGCGCTAGGAGGGGGGGGGGTTAGGGTTTAGGGTTTAGGGTTTAGGGTTTAGGGTTTAGGGATTAGGGTTTAGGGTTTAGGGTTTAGGGTTCGGTTCAGGAGCTTGGGTTTATTTCGGGCCCAGGGTGGCTGAGTTCAGAGACTGCTTCGGAGTTTGGCTTTCCCAGCCCTAAATAGAGTCCCTTGATTGTAGTTCTTCTGATGGTACTTGCAGAACAATTTAGGGTTTAGGCGGTTTAGGGTTTAGGGTTTAGGGTTTAGGGTTTAGGGTTTAGGGTTTAGGGTTTAGGGTTTAGGGTTTAGGGGATCAATGTAGCAAGGCAGAAGACTGGTACACCCAGATCAGGTTCGCCAGAACACAGCAACCACGGAGAAAGAAGGACTTAAGGGTTCCTGCTTTCAATAACAAATAACAAACTGACTGACCTAAATAGGTTCAGAACCCCAAGCCCCTAAAACCCTAAACCCCTAAACCTCTAAAACCCTAAACCCTAACCGTAAACCGTAAACCCTAAACACCTAAATGCCTAAACCCCTAAACCCCTACTAAACCCTTAAACCCCTAAACCCCTAAATCCTCACGCCCTCAAACCCTACACCCCGAAAGCCTAAGCCCAGATATCGGCATCCGATGCCTCAAAAGGTTTATGGTGTCGGAGTTAGGTGTTGTGGGGGTTTAGGGGTTAGGGTTTAGAGTTTAGGGTTTAGGGTTTGCGGTTTAGGGGTTTGCTAAGCTCCCTAGTGCACGTGTCGAAAAAACAAAGCATCGAGAAAAAGGTGGAGCTTTACTTTTTTGCCGGCAAGCCTTGCAAGTCCAGGGTCATTTGAGGTTCAGGGGGTTTTGGGTTTAGGGTTTAGAAATTGAGGGTTTTGGGGATTTAGGGTATTTGGGCTCAAGGGTTTTAGGGTTCAGGGGTTGCGTGATCAGTGACTTCGTTAGGCGGAATCCCTTCAGCTAGCCATGCAAGGACGCGCGGGGGCAAGAATGACGACAAGGGTCACTCTCACCTACATCCTGATCATCCTAAACCTAAAACCCTGAAACCCTCAAACCCTAAAACCCTAAAACGCCAAAACCCTAAAAACCTAAACCCCTAAACCCTAAACCCAAGCAGCGTGGGAGTCTAAAGATACCTCTACAGGACTACTTGGAGGTTCATGGTACTCATTAACTAATTATAACCGTACTTACAACTACATTAGGGTACTTAAGGGGCTTATAAGTGGGTTATAGGTACAATTTGAATTGGTTAATAAAGTACCGTGAACCTCCAGGTATGTTTTCGGGCAGCAGCGCCTCCTCGCCAGCAACAAGCCAGAAATGGTAGCCCACTTTGTCCGCCTGCGTGGGGTTTAGGGTTTAGGGTTCAGGGTGTTCAGCTAGTATGCTTGGCGGCTTACATAGTGGTGTAGGCCGGGGTCTGTAGAAGCTCCAACCTCACAAGCCATCCGCAGTTTTGGGCCTAAACCCTAAACCCTAATTAAACCCCAGACCCCCCTTTTTTTGAGGGGGGGGGGGGGGGGGGGGAGCACCCTATACTAGGGGGGGGGGGGGGGGGGATTTAGGGGTCTAACATTATGTTTCTATGGGCTATAGGGGTTATATGAGGATTATGACCCATAGATCAAAACAATCTATCCTAAATCCCCCCCAAGTTCCCCTAACCCAGGTTTCGGGGGTTAGGGCTTACTCTAGGGTCTAAGGCTTTTAGGGACTCAGCAATGGTTAGGCTTTAGGGTTTCGGTTGTGGGGCTCAGTAGTTGAGGCAAAATTCCTGAAATAAGTTTCGGGAAAGAGGGAGTCCCTGGGCAGGAGGGGCACCCGTAGATTTTTTCTAGGGACACATGACCCTACTACCCTAGATAAGCCAACAGGTTTAGGGTTTAGGGTTGAGGGTTTAAGGTGTGGGTATGGCTACTACGAGAAAAAAAGGATACCCACCCCTAGACCCTAAACCCCAAACCCTGAACCGTAAACCGTTTCTCTTGCGAATCCTACACCCCAAACCTTAAAAGGATTGAGGGTTCACGCCGGGCACTTTCAGGGTTTAGGTTGCTTTCGAGTTTAGGGTTTAGGGTTTAGGGTTTAGGGTTTAGGCCTCCAAACCCTAAATCCTATAAGAGCCTAAGCCCTTTATCAGTTGCAGATGCAGGCGCCCACATGCCCTGTGAGCGGCGGATTGCGTTGTGCCTGAGAGAACGACATGCATGCGTCCGGGTTACAGAGGTTTGCAACTTGGGTGCAGGGCTTAGGGCTTAGGTGCCTGAGGGCGCGCATGCACAACGCCTCAAATTTCGGGTTTGGGGATTTGGGTTTAGGCTCTATGGCTCTGGTACTTTAGGGTTTAGGTAAAGCCCCAGGATCAAGAAGCAGCAGGGTTTAGGGTTTAGGGTTTAGGGTTTAAGGCTTGGGGCAAGGACTGACCATGACGCCGTGCTCAAGGGCTGGGTGACAACTCAGGTCGTATAGCAGAAGAACCCAACCCCGGGGTACTTTTCACCTTTCAACCTGCAAAGTGCCCTGAGACTGTTTAGGGTTTAGGGTTTAGGGTTTAGGGTTTAGGGTTTAGGGTTTAGGGTTTAGGGTTTAGGGTTTAGTCAACCTAAGCCTAAACCCCCCAAAAATTGGTTAACCCTATGAACTGGAATGTTCCACCCTATACTAGCAGTCCTTCATGGGGATTATAGTAGTAGCCCCCCCTATTATAATCTCTATTTAGGACTGCTAGTATAAGGGGAACATCCCAACCTAAAAGTCCTAAAACCCTAAACCCTAAACCCTCAACCCTAAACCTAAAAGTCCTAAAACCCCAAGCCCCGAAATCCCTTCTTGGAAGCTCTTTTTGACTTAGCAAGTCTACTTCGTATGCCCTCGAAACCCTCTTATACTCCCCATGACCCACCTTACTAACCTTACTTACTACGTCAAAAGGGCTTGAACCCTAAACCCTAAACCCTAAACCCTAAACCCTAAACCCTAAATTTAAACCCTAATCCCTAAACCCTGAACCCTAAACCCTAAACCCTAAACCCTTCAGCTCGAAGGGCGTCCAGGGCCCGGTGGCGGCCACGGTAAGGCTGTCTGCTGCCAGTCCAGCACACCTGGGTTGGGGTTCAGGGTTTAGGGTTTAGGGTTTAGGGTTTAGGGTTTAGGGCTTAGGGCTTAGGGCTTAGGGCTTAGGGTTTAGGGTTTAGGGTTTAGGGTTTAGGGTTTAGGGTTTAGGGTTTAGGGTTTAGGGCACCTGGATTGGGGTTTCGTACTCCCTCTGACTTCTTCGGGCTTGGGGCTAGGGTTTATAGGGTTGAGGGTTGAGGGTTTAGGGCTATATGAAGCAGGGTATATATTTCTTGTACCCCCAAAAGGACACCCGGCATGTACACCAATATTAACATGAACCTTATAATATACACCACCAAGAACAGCAAGATAAACCCTACTTCATATAGGGTTGAGTTGATTAGGGGGGGGGGATGGTCTAAGGAACATAAAGGGGCACCCTCAGGGTTTAGGGTTTAGGGTTTAGGGGTTTCATTCTCTGTACTAGACCCAACAGCAACCTGGGAATGAAAAGCTTACCCTATCATGGCTTTCAAGGGGCTTAGAAGGGGAACCAAGACCTTACCCTAAAGAAAGGGAATAAGGGCCTAACCCTACACCCTCAATCCTAAACCCCAAGCCCCTAGATGCTAGGAGAGAACTGAAGCCTGGAAGTTGTTAGGCCCTTCTAGGGCCTTGGGGCCTGAAAGAAGGGCCAGGTTTAGGAGCTTATAGTGTTTAGGGCTGAGGGCTCAAGAGTTTTTGTGGTTTACAAGGCTTAAAGGATTTATAGGGTTTTAACAAGAAAGACCTAGTAATACACAAGCATGAGGTACAAGCCTTTGAGGACATGGTTTTTACCGCTGGCTCAAGCCTGAGAACTCTGCACTACGCTCAGGAGACGAGTCTTCTTCGCTTCATGGCAGGTTCCGAGTTGTTGGTGCCAACGTCCTTGTTGCTGCCGGCCTCCACCAGCACACGAGCGACTTCAACGTGGCCATTGCCAGCTGCCATCATGAGCGCAGTGATGCCACTGTTGGAAGCCACGTCCTTGTCGGCGCCGGCCTCAACCAGCAAGCGCGCGACTTCAACGTGGCCACGCATGGCTGCCGCCATCAAGGCTGTGTTGCCATCATTGTCCACAATGTTCTTGTCGGCACCGGCCCCCACCAGCAAACGCACGATTTCAACATGGCCATTGGCTGCTGCGATATGCAGCGCTGGGATGCCTTCTTTGGAAGTCACGTCCTTGTAGGCGCCGCCCTCAACCAGCAAGTGCGCGACTTCAACGTGGCCACGCGTAGCGGCCAAAAACAGAGCTGGGATGCCGCCTTTGTACGTCAGATCCTTGTCGACGCCGGCCTCAACCAGCAAACGCACGACCTCAACATGGCCACTCATAGCTGCCGTCATCAAGGCTGTGTTGCCCTCGTTGTCGCCAATGTTCTTGTCGGCACCCGCCTCCACCAGCAAACGCGCCGCTTCAACATTGCCGTCGGCAGCTAGTATATGCAGCGCTGGGGTGCCTCTTTTGGAAGTCACATCCTTGTCCGCGCCGGCCTCAACCAGCAAACGCATGACTTCAACGTGGCCATTGGCAGCTGCCATCATGAGCGCGGTGATGCCACTGTTGGAAGCCACGTCCTTGTCGGCGCCGGCCTCAACCAGCAAGCGCGCGACTTCAACGTGGCCACACATGGCCGCTGCCATCAAGGCCGTGTTGCCCTCGTTGTCGGCCATGTTCTTGTCGGCACCGGCCTCCACCAGCACGCGCGCGACTTCAACATGGTCGCTGACAGCGGCCATAATCAGCAGCGGGAGGCCATTTTTGCAAGTCACATCCTCTTGGCTGACTTCTGAACCCCTCCTAACAGTTTAACATTTAGGCTCCTTATTGGTAGTTTCTACAAAAGCCAAAGAAGTTAAAGTCCTAAGAGCCAGCCAGAAGAAAGCCGAGTCCTTGTCTGCCCCGGCCTCAGCCAGCAAGCGTACGACTTCGACATGGCCACGCATGGCTGCCATCATCCTTAATCAGGTGCGAAAGTGAACCCTAAAATTGGGGTCATCTACTTATACTACTAGAACTCCAAGTAAGGGAATGTGAACCATAGTGCCCAAGGGTCAAGGCTGTCGTGCCCTCCTTGTCGGCTCTGTCCTTGTCGGCTCCGGTCTCCAGCAGCAAGCGCACGACTTCAACATGGCCACGCATCGCTGCCACCATCCTTACTTGGGGGGGGAAAGTGAACCCTAAGATTGGGGTCATCTAGACCCTATATACTACTATAACTCCTAGTAGCACTATTATGAACCATAGTGCCCAAGGGTCAAGGCTGTGTTGCCATCGTTGTACGCAAAGTCCTTGTCTGCACCGGCCTCCACCAGCAAACGCGCGGCTTCAATGTGACCATCGCCAGCCGCCATCATCAGCGCTGTGAAGCCATTGTTGCTGGCCACATCTTTGTCGGCACAGGCCTCCTTGGTAGCCCAGCAACCATATTCGAATAAGGGCACCCTTTTTGGGGGTTTAGGGTTTAGGGTTTAGGGGTTATTCTACAAGGGAACCCAGAACCAAAAACAAGGGCAAAGGGTACCCTGGGCTGCTAAGCCTCTATCAGCAAACGCACGGCTGCAACATGCCCACGCGAAGCTGCGATCATCAGGGCTGTGTTACCACCTTCGGGATCAAAACTAAGCCTAAAAAGGGTTCATGGTTCATACATATTGGATATGGTATATGACCCCTAAACCCTAAACCCTAAACCCTAAACCCTAAACCCTAAACCCTAAACCCTAAACCCTAAACCCTAAACCCTAACCCCAGATTTACGGATTTTTAGGGTTCATTTGGTCCCCAAGGCACTGCTATTGACCATGTCCTTGGCAGCGCCGGCCTGAGCCAGTGCGCGCACGAGGTCTTCGTGGCCTCGTACCTTGAGGGTTTAGGGTTTAGGGTTTAGGCTTTAGGGTGGTTTAGGGTGGTTTGGGGTGGTTTAGGGTGGTTTAGGGTGGTTTAGGGTGGTTTAGGGTGGTTTAGGGTGGTTTAGGGTGGTTTAGGGTGGTTTAGGGTGGTTTAGACATGAACCCTATAATCGGGGCTCAGATACCCTAGACCGCTACAATTGCTATTAGGGTAGTATGAACCATAAACCCTGTTAGGGTTCATTTCGTCCCCAAGGTACAGCCGCGGTCATCAAGGCTGTGTTGCCATTCTCGTCGGCATAGTCCTTGTCAGCGCTGGCCTCCAACAGCAAACTCACGACTTCAGCGTGGCCGCGCATAGCTGCCATCATCCTTGGGGACGGTTTAGGGTTTAGGGTTTAGGGTTTAGGGTTTAGGGTTTAGGGTTTAGGGTTTAGGGTTTAGGGTTTAGGGAAATTGGGGTCACATACCCTATATACTCCTATAACTCCTATTCAGGTCTTATGCCCTGGGTTCATTGAGTCCCCAAGGATCAAGGCTGTGTTGCACTTGTGGGTGGCAAGGTCCTTGTCTGCTTCAGCCTCCACCAGGCCCTAAGCCCTAAACCCTAAACCCTAAACCCTAAACCCTAAACCCTAAACCCTAAACCCTAAACCCGAAACCCTAAACCCTAAACCCTAAACCCTAAACCCTAAACCATGCCTCCACCAGCACCTGAATGACGTCAATGCGGCCAAAGCCAGCTGCCAACCTTATAAACAAAAGGAAGCCTAAAATGAGTCATATACCCTAACTGCTCTAATTCCTATTCGGGTAACATAAACCCTAAACCCTAAACCCTAAACCCTAAACCCTAAACCCCAAACCCTAAACCCTAAACCCTAAACCCTAAACCCTTTAGGGTTCATTTGGCCCCCAAGGAACACCATGGCTGTGAAACCATCGTTGGTGGTCGCGTCCGGGTCGGCCCCGGCCTCCACCAGCGCACGCACGACTTCCTGGGACGCTTTGGCCCTAAACCCTAAACCCTAAACCCTAAACCCTAAACCCTAAACCCTAAACCCTAAACCCTAAACCCTAAACCCTAAACCCTAACCTTAAACCCTAAACCCTAAACCCTAAACCCTAAACCCTAAACCCTAAACCCTAAACCCTAAACCCTAAACTCTCGAAACCCTAAACCGTAGGTACATAGGGTCCCAGGTTCTTCATGGCCAGGTACAGCTGCCGTCATCAAGGCCGTCATGCCCTCGGTGTCGGCCGCATCCTTATCAGCGCCAGCCTCCAGCAGCAAGTGCCTGGGATCCCAATTTAGCTGCATTTCTATAGGGGTTTAGGGTGTAGGGTTTAGGGTTTAGGGTTTACGGGTTTACGGGTTTACGGGTTTACGGGTTTACGGGTTTACGGGTTTACGGGTTTACGGGTTTACGGGTTTACGGGTTTACGGGTTTACGGGTTACGGGTTCCCTATTAACCTACGGTTGTCAAGGGTTTGTACCTACAAAATGAGGGGGGGTACTTACTGCTAAGCTGTGGGTAAATAAGAAGGGACCCTCATATAGACCCCCTAATACTAGGATCCCCATATCATAGGGACCCCAATAAGGTGCCCCTAATTTCGGAAAACCCTAGACCCTAAACCCCCTGACTTCGGATTCCTCCAAGTAGGGTCCCAGGTGCACGACTTCAAGGTGGCCGTCTCTGGCTGCGAACATAAGGGTTGTGCTGCCATCTCGGTCGGCAAAGTCCTTGTTGGCGCCGGCCTCCACTTTGGAGGTTCATGGGACTTCTTCACGAATTGTCACTGTACTTAGAACTGTACGTATAAACATACTAGGGCACTTAGGGGGCTTATGAGTGGGTTATAAGTACAGCTATCCTAAACCCTAAACCCTAAACCCTAAACCCTAAACCCTAAACCCTAAACCCTAAACCCTAAACCCTAAACCTTAAGCCCCAAACCCTAAACCCTTAAACCCTAACCCTAAACCCTCAAAAGTGGGTTGCAAGTACAGTTGTGATTGCTTAATTAGCACCATGAACCTCCAGCAGCACCCGTGCGACTTCGACGTGGCCCCACTCAGCTGCATGTAGCAGCGCCGTCCGACCAGCTGCCTTGCGGACAAAGTAACCCTCAACCCTAAACCCTAACCCTAAACCATAAACCCTCAACCCTAAACCTCACACGACCCAGGGCCCTACTAAGCCCTACACCCCCAACCGAGAATCGCTAAAACTCGAAGCTCGAAGCTGCAAAATTCAGTCCCTCAACCCTAAACCCTACACCCAAAACCCTAAACCCTGAGCCCTAAACCCTGAACCCCAAACCCTAAACCCTAAACTCTCAAAGGTACAGCCACGTTTGGGTCCAGGGGAAGCCGTAGAATGGACTCGACCTCCCAGGGGTTTTTGCTGCTTAGAGCGAGCCTTGGGATCCTCTGCAGTTTAGGGTTTAAGGTTTAGGGTTTAGGGTTTAGGGTTTAGGGATATTCAGGGTTAAGGGAACCTAGTTGGCAGGTAACCCCCTTCAGCTGGGTCGTCCTAGTAAAACCCCAAATACAAGTAACCGACTAACCAGGTTCCCCTGGCCCTTTAAGCAAGAGGCTTGCCCAATGAAAGAGTGCTGCCTGGGTGTCCCTTTTTTACGGTGGGCCCTCCACACCTTGTGACCAAAGGGTAGCTGTTTAGGGTTTAGGGTTTAGGGTTTAGGGTTTAGGGTTTAGGGTATAGGGTATAGGGTTTAGGGTTTAGGGTTTATATAGGGTTTAGGGTTTAGGGTTTAGGGTTTAGGGTTTAGGGTTTAGGGCTAGGGTTTAGGGTTTTCATGCTGGTGAGGAGCATGACTATCATGATGAGGATGACGATGGCGATCATGGCCAGGAGAGGAGGAGGATGGGACTGAGGATGAGGAGGAGGATGAGGAGGATTGATATGGGTTTAGGGTTTAGGGTTTAGGGTTTAGGGTTTAGGGTTTAGGATGATACGATGATTTTGTGATGATGGCGACGATGACGATGACACCGGCGAAAGCAACGTTGCCGCAGTTGGTGCCTGTTATGTTCAAGACATAAAGTCTCAGAGCTTTTGGGGGCCTTAATACTTAGAACAGGGTTTTGGGAGGTTGCTATAGTATAAGTATAAAGGGCCCAGACGGGAAAACTATCAGAAATTATTCCGACCCCTATATAACCTGACTGCACAGCTTTTTGGAAACAGGTGCCTCTTGCACCGAACCGTTTCTGGCGGAAGCTATGAGCTCTTCCACTTGTGTCGTGGAAGGGCTGGCGAAAGAAAGCACAACGAGTTCCAGATCAAGAGCAGAGTCGAGCTCATCGGCATCGTCCAGATTGCAACCCTGGAGGATGAGCCTCTGCCTCTTAGGTAGGCGCAGTAGAACCATCTTATAATAAGATAAGGGGGACCCATAACAAAAAAAGGGAAAAGGGTACCACTGGGCGACCAAACATAAACCCTGAACCCGATTTTAGAGGAGATTGATATTTAGAAGTTTGAATAGAATTGTGAGGAAATTTTCAGTAGTTGAAATTCAGTGGCCATCAACTAAGATTTTCTATTTATATCAGTCCTAAATCGAAATACTGAATTTGGATTTTGGTGCGAGTAGTCTATACATATGTATATATATATATATGCTTGCTCTAAACCCTAAATCCTAAACCCTAACCCCTAAACCCTAAACCCCCTGCCTGAAGCGTGGCGGCAGGCCATGCAGCTCATGCAGCCGCTGCTTGACTTCCCTCACGCTGCTCACCTCCTCCACAGGCATGGCAGTCATCTCTTCGCCCGAGAGCATGCGGATGCGCAGCATCCTGGGCAGAGGAGCCTGATGAAGCGGTTTAGGGTTTAGGGTTTAGGGTTTAGGGTTTAGGTTTTAGGGTTTGGAGTTTGGGGTTTTGGGTTTTTTGAGCTACTCAAAGTCCGACGTGCCAGAGCCGGTCATGCCTGCGAATTCAAGGCCGGCGCCTCCCCCTATATTATGCCTTACCTTAGTTGTCCAGTAACCTGGGGGAACTAAAGGTTAACCTTTGGGATTATAAGGGGATTCGATTACCCCAAAAAGGTTAAAGGTTACCCACTCTACTACTAGGTTACCCAGAGGGCCCATTTGTACTACGATTATGGACTTAGGTACCCCCAAAACCGTATTTAGAAGGGTTTTCGGGCACCGAATGCCATAATGGTACTAGAAATGGACCCTACGGGTTCGTTGTCCAGTACCTAGGGGGGGACTAAAGGTTAACCTTTGGGAATATAAGGGGATTAAATAACCCCAAAAAGGTTAAAGGTTTCCTACTCTACAACTAAGATGACTACATCACCTGG